TAACCTTTAAACGGTAAAATACGTTCTAATATTATAAATTTTGATAGATGTTATATTTTGGGATGAAAAGAGTATGAGTGGGCAAGTGCTCCTTCCATCTTATTTTAAACGCAGTCACGAGTTTGTGTCTAACTTTAATCGTCCATTTTATTTTAAAAAATAAAAGTTAAAAAAGTAAAATAATGTATAAATTAATATAATATTTTATCATTTAATAAGAAAAATATATTAATCATAATTTTTTTTAAATAAGACGATAATAAAAAATAAACACAGAAACACGTTACCTCTTTTAAAATGGGAGGGAGGGAGTATATATAAGTCAAGGAGTAATTGCTGTTGGTGACGTTAACCTACGCGGTAGTACGTGCGTGTGAGCAGCTGGAGCATTCAAGTAGTTTTGGCTTGTGGCAGCGCCTCTCGAGCCCATGCAACGCGGAGACAGCAAGCTGCCGCGCGACACGGCACGCCGAGCGAGAACTCGAGTCTATTCAATGCGCTAGCTGCAGCGTCCGTCGGTTGCATTGGCTACGAGTAAAAATTTACCTCTTTCCTTGACTTCGCCAATAGAGAGAAAGGAAAAAAAAAAGGCGAGAGATGGTCCGGGAGCGGCGAGCTATCGGCGCGCGCTGTAGCGGCACAGGGCGAGCAGTAGTCGTCGTATGCGCGGTGGTAGTGATGGCCCTGAATCTGAGCATGCTTGTTGGTCGCGTCACGCACGCTCGCTCGCTGCCTACATACATGGGCTCTCATCATGCCGCACGCCCCCGATCAATTGGCTACAGGCTCCTACTATACACAGCGTCCTCGTGACGGCTCGTCACACACGTACGCTACGCCAAGCAGCGCATGCACGTGCCATGTTTGACATGGGCGCCCGCATGCATTTTGGTACCATATCTAGCGGACGGCGTTGTGTCCGCGCTGCTACAGTCGTCGGTGCAGGAGCTGCTTTGCAATATGTGTAGTTTTCTAGCGAATCCGATCAATACATGCATGGATGCGTACAGATTTAGTGGTTCATCTTTTTTTTTCTTTTCCTCTGCTCGACTCGACCATGGCTTTACTACATGTGATAGGCTTTTTAGTTCGTGCATGTAGCAGCGGTAGCACACTAGCATGACATGTCTGGATAACCACCGGTCGGGAGTGGCCCACCGGGTTAGGCCGCCGGCCGGCATGGGGCGTACATGCATGCATGGCTTTTCTCGGGAATTATAATCGTGTGATGGTCCGCTGATCGGATGGATCGGGCCGTGCGCGCGTGAGCCTATTATGGTTGGATTGGGACGATGCGTACTACTACTACGTACACTACGTACGGGTAGGGTTCGGCGATGATGGTATTGATGTATACTGGACATTTCATGATACACGTACCACCAAATGCTAAGGATCTTTGGACGAGATGGCTAGTGTTTGGTGCAAAGATCTAGTGACTGATCCGGCCGGTATTTAGGACCGTGGATACTTCAAAGCCGCCAAGTAACAGGAGGGGCGCCTATCCGTGACAGGAGCTGTCTCCACATTTCGATTGATTATTGCATGGCGAAGGCGTGATCAGCAGGGATTGACAGGATGCGAGTAGCGCGTGCTGTGCCAGGAAAGGTTACACAAGTTCCCCGCACAAAAAAAAAAAAAAGAAAGAAAAAAAGAGAGAAGGGTTACACAAGTTGTCCGCGCCGGGTCCTACACACATATGGAAAAATGAAACAGTATGTATTGTTTCACAAATGTTCCTGGCTTAAGTTAGATATAGTATATAGGAACAAATTAATGTCGTGCCCCTTAAAATACATGATAAAAAAACACAGAGAATATGAAATAAACCACATAAATGAAAGTAACATGTTTTTTTAATCCAGTAATAGTTAAAAGCACAGGTAATAGGAATATACTCGCTCCGTCCCATTTTAAGTGCAATCATAAATTTTCACGTCCAACTTTGATCATCCGTTTTATTTGAATTTTTTTTATAATTAGTATTTTTATTATTATGAGATGATAATACATGAATAGTACTTTATATGTAACTCATGTTTTTAATTTGTTCAGAAATTTTTCAAATAAAACGAACAATAAAAATTGTGCACGGAAAATCATGGTTGTACTTCAAATGAGACAGAGGGGGTATGTTCTTCGATTGCACCATAGGACGGAATTGACCATAGGAATACAATCCTATAAAAATTCACATCCTTTTCATAGGAAAAATCCGTGTCCTTTTCAAATGAATCAAAGGAGCATATGAGAAAAAAATATTAAGGGAATTGAATTATCAAAAATTATTTGTCAATCCTCCATTTTAAAGGGACCCTCATTGTAGAGATGTGCATGTGTTCAATATACACAGGGAGCACATATATATAGCCTTTCATAGTCTACTTGCAGATTTATCGCTCGTAGCCAAAATTTAAATTTTGGAAAATAAATTTTAGAGTTGATTTCTTTTACCCGTACTCTATATTTTAATTTTTCTTTTAAACTGTAAGTAAACATATATAAATAAATTGTTTCTCCTACTTTGTTTGTTTTTCTATGGCATATCAACTACTTCGTACAGCTCAAGCGACAAGAGGCATAAAGCAAATTAACCATAAGTGTTTCCCACAATATACCCCTAATAGACGACACGCATGATAAAATTTATGAAAAAATTTATGATGATCTCTACGGTAATATAATCAATATATACTACCACCAACAATCTTAAACTATCTTTCATTGATAGTATAAGTCATAAATCAATGGGTTATATTATTTAACTAATAAATATCAGTAGATATCACCGTAAAAATACTTTTCAGATTTTTTTTACGAATTACACGTGTGTAAATACATGCGTGAATTTTAATGGGTACAATTACACAATAAAAATATACAAATTACTGAATCTGTCTCAGAAAAAAAAAACAAGCACATCAGAGCTACTCCCTTTATCTCAAAATAAACTAACATATGAATGGATTTGACACAATCTAGTATAACAATTTAGACAACAATCGTCTTCTAAGTTGGTTTATTCTGATTCGGATGGAGTACAACCTTTTTGTCATGGGAAAGGCCATGTTTACCCCTCCAGCTGAAGTTAATTAAATATCATCCCAAACATTAAAGAGTAAAATACAGTTACTCCTATTTGCTAGCCATTACAAATTCATATGAATATAATATCCTGATATTTATTAAATGCTGGCCCGTTGACATGACAGCGCTTTCACGAACAGCGGTTTCTCATTGGCGCTGAGAAACCTTTGGCTGATCTAACGTGAACTTTCGGTGAAAACTATTGGCATAAGTAAATTCACGCTGTGTTTAGATGCAAAGTTTGGATCCAAACTTCAGTCCTTTTCCATCACATCAACCTGTCATACACACACAACTTTTTAGTCACATCATCTCAAATTTCAACCAAAATCTAAACTTTACGCTGAACTCTCGTACCAAAGTTAATCTACAGGGTGATCCCAACAGTTTTGGGCTAGGTGGGCCTGAGTCCCTGTTCCGTTGGCTAAACCCTTTATAAAATGTTGAGTTAATAGAGGAAAAAAGCACTAGTTTGATAGAAGAAAAACGATGAATAATTGAAAGGTAATTACTTTTACTTCTTTTTTAAATAGGTAGTTGTATAAAAATATAATAATGTTTGTTTTTTTCTTATATTTAGTCTTGTCATGTTACGCACTATATTATTCTACGTTCACCGTCACTGTTAATATATCCCCATGTAGAAATTAAGGATGAAAAATATATACTTTTTACTATCTTTTTAAAGGAATTATAACCCTGGCCTCTAAACTACAAATGCACATCATTATTTGAACTTGGAGTAAACCTCTAGAGGAAAATTTGCAAAAAATAAATAGACCAAGACTCGTATTGGTTGAGCTATATATCCTAGAAATAGGAATGGAGCAACAATAAATAATTTGTCAGAAAAACCTTTTGTGGTTTAAAAACCAATGTTGAAACAAATCAGGATACCCCCCCCCCTACAAAATTTAGTACTCCCTCCGTCCTATAATATATGTATTTTAATAATTTGCTTACACTGTTTAAGCACTCGTCTTATTAAAAAAATCTGTGCAAATATAAAAAACAAAAATTTGTGCTTAAAGTACTTTGGATAATAAAGTAAGTCAAAAAAATAATAATTCTAAATTTTTTTTGAATAAGACAAATGGTTAAACAGTGCAAGTAAAATATCAAAATCCCTTATCAAGAGACGGATGGAGTAGGCAACAAGCAAACAACAAGACACTAAAATATCTATATAACCTAAAAGCATAGTAATTAAGTGCACAACCATCACCGGTTAGTTTGAAAATATAGAGAAAACCAAGCGATTATATATATACTTTATAAAACCAGTCGACTTTATAAAACCGGTCGGTTCTGATCAATACTTCATCCCCGGTAGTATGATGCCGTGCAGTCTATCCCCAGTTGTAGGAGCGTTAAGTACCAGCATGTCAACGGTAAAAGGAACAACGATACAAAGAGCTCAAGATTTTGAGAAATAGTTGTTTGGTAGCTATGTTTCCTAAGTTCTGGTTTTTATTTCATCTCCTAGATTCTATAACTACAAATTTTAAATCTGGTTAAAAATCTACTAAACTGATGGTAGAATCTAAGGACCCCTTTGAATCACGCGAATGGAAAAACAAAGCAATAGAAAAAATATAAGATTCTGATAGGATTGTAAATCCAAAACGAGAACGCAAGAAAAACACATCAATGATCGTTTGATTGGATCGTATAAAAACGCAGGATTCATATAAGAAAGATAGACTCCAAGGATATTTTCCAAGATGTTAGTTCTTATTAAATTTCCTCTAAAATCTCTATAGGATCGTTTATTTCATAGAAATTTCAAATAATATGATATGATTTAATCTATTATTTCAAAGACCTTCATAGGAAATTTTTAAATAGAATTGAAATCCTCCAAAGTTTCCATGTTTTTCTTCCAAAAGTTGTTGCTGATAGAATCTCTCTCGAACAGGACATCTCGCGAAGTGTATACTGGCCCACTCCACCCGTTTCGGCCCTAGTTACATCAACGATAGGTACGTGCTAATAAGATCAGTACGGAAAATAGTTGCGGAGGCAGGTAATCTTACATACTGCCCTCTATTAGTTGAAAACGGAGAACATGTACTAATGGCACCCAATCATCAAATTCGCTATTAGCTGCTCTTATCCTCTTTTGCCTACCTACAAGTACTCCACAACAGGAACAATCTCCCCGCTGTTACCAGCTGTGTTGCTTTTGTTACTACTGCTAGTTTTTTAGAGTAGCTAGGGAGAGTGCAGGCAGAGGCAGGGCAGGGGTGGTGAATCGGTAGAGGTCGGCAGCGTGGTAGGCCACGGAGCAGCTGCTCATAGTCACATCTGCATTTCCAATCCAAAAGCAGGAAGCGTGAACGACCGTGCAAAAATGAATGGAGTCAGGAGGCTTGGCGTCCCGTAGATGCAGAACGCCTTTGATGGATGGTTGCAGCGAAGGTGCGTAGTTTGCACTTTGCAGGTGGTTGATGGGAGGCCATCAGCTGATGTGAAGTCCATTAGTATGACACGGCTGGGGCTTCATGTATGCCATGCATGTCAAGCAACAGAGGGCTGGGGCTCATGTATGCCATGCATGTCAAGCAAGCAACAGAGGCCGAGCCAAACAGCCAATGGTAGCCAAACAGCCATTTTATTGACAACAAGGGTACTGGAGCGATCAATAAAATTGGAACAGAAGGAGCATGGCACTCAGGCTGATGGAGTCATGAATGGATCAGAAAGCAACCAACCGAAGAAAATTTGTTTGGTGATAGAGTGGAACGGATGGGCTGTTTCAGAGTTCACTGTAACTCCGGACCAGAATACAAGAACGGCTCCCATCAATTATTTCTTCACCAGACAGAAGAACACTGCAAATATGGTTGTTAGTTCCCGCTACTAGGAGCAAAGTCAATAATATAGCCCGCTGTCGGCTCTTAAAAAATAGCCACATCATTTATAGCATAGCTCATGCTTACAATAGAACTACTATAACACAATTATTTTATTATCTTTGTGGGACCCGCCATCTTGCCTTATCTCATTCTCTTTCTTCCTCCTACCCCTTCTGTTTCTGTGTTCGTCTTGCCTGTGGCCTGAGCGTGCGGTAGTTGGAGATGGGCACTTGGGCTTGGGCAGATGGCCATGCGACGGATACGGAACTACGGGAGACGCCGGTGGCCGTGTAGAACGAGGGCATCATGCGACGGACGCGGGAGACGACGACGGCTCAACGACCGCGGCGGCGCGGCCACGGTCGTGGCTGGTGAGGGCCACGACCAAGGCTGAAGCAAGTGATGGTGACAACGTGATGGCAGTGGCCGGATGATGGTCACAGCTGCGGCGAACGCAGCGACGACGACTGCTGCGGCCGCGATGGACGAGAGCCACGGTTGAGGATGCAAGCGATGGCAACGGCGACGGCCGGGGTAGACGAGGGCCACAGTTGCGGCGGACGCGGCGACGACGACGGCTGCGGCCGCGGTGGACGAGAGCCACGGCAGAGGATGCAAGCGATGGCGGCGGCACGACGGCGACGGAGGCGGCCACAGGGGGATGAGGACGCCTGCGGACGCAGGTGAGGGTGGCGGCGTCGGCGGACGCAGGCGGACGACAGCGGCGGCGCCGACGGACGCAGGTGAGGGCGACGGCGCCGAGAGATGCATTTGACGGTGGCGGCGCCGGCAGATGTAGGCGGATGACAGCGGCGACGCCGAGAGACGCAGGCGGACGACAGTGGCGGCGTCGGCGGACGCAGGTGAGGCGGCGACGTCGAGAGACGCAGGTGAGGGCGGCGGCGCCAGCGGACGACATCGACGGACGCAGGCAACAGCTGTGGCAACGAGGGCGGCATATCCCGACGGATGCGGTCCCACGACCTTGGGCCGTGCGTAGAGCCGGGCGACTAATTAGTCACCCGTTCGTTCTCTCTCTTCCCCCCTCTCTCCTCCACGTCACCGAAAAATCCGACGTGGACATCCTATCGTCGTTTATTGTACCGCTATAAGGGCATCCAAAATGTACTACAAAATAGTCCATAGGGAATAATCTATTCCATTCAGCCATCTAGTAATATTGTGCAACTAGTCCATTAAAGGAAATAGCAAAAGATATCCATATGCATATGGACTACCTATATGACATAAATAATATTATCCATCTTTACCTCTCTCTCTTCTCCTAATGTTACATTGTATCCATATACATTGTGATTGCTATAGTTAAAGTTTATTTATATGAATCCTATCTATATAGACCATTTTTGCCATATACATTGGTGATGCACTAACACCGGCAATGCTGATATGTTGCGGCTTGTAGCTAGCCTAGGCTTCTAGACTACCCATCTAACAGCACATCTAGACTGTAGTATAAATGAGTACAATGAATACAGACGAAACTAGTGCTGTTCCATTCGGACGGAACTGGAAAGCAAAATTGTGCTGGAAAGAATATTTTGTTACTAGGAAAGAATCAGTGTTACATAGTACAATGCTCTTCAATTCCCCCAAAGTATACAAGCGGATGCCATGGTAAGTTAATTCATAAATACAAAATGGAAATGTTTTGATTCAGGCAGGTTATAGTGTACGGTAGAAATGTTCCTTGTGATAAGGAGTACCAGTCATGGGCTTCGGTATGAGAAGACAGATTATGTGAAACCAGTATTAGCCTATTTGGTTCTGCAGTTCTGCAAAAACAAACGCTTCGAAAGATCTTTTCCTTTAGAAAAGTCTTTTTTAACTAGAACAGCAAGAACCTTTTGTGGCGGCTGGAGCTTCAGCAACGTTGATCGTAGTTCCTTGCATGGAACGCCCATTTGTAGACGCGGATTCCTGAGCTGCAAGTGCTTTCTTGCTTACAATCTGGTGAATTTCACTCAATACAGTATGGAATGCTTTCTCCACATTAATCGCTTCCAGAGCAGACGTCTCAAGGAAGGAGAGACCTTCTTTCTCAGAGAACGCATGGCCATCTTCCTCGGGGACTGATCGTAGATGGTTTAAGTCAGACTTGTTTCCGACCATCATGACAACAATGTTGGCGTCTGCATGGTCCCGGAGCTCCCGCAGCCACCTCTGAACATTGTCGAAGGTTTGCCTCTTTGTTATGTCGAATACAAGAAGTGCTCCAACTGCACCCCTGTAATAAGCACTCGTGATTGCACGGTATCTCTCTTGACCTGCCGTGTCCCATATCTGAGCCTTGATAGTCTTCCCTTCTATCTGTCTCAAGACAATAGTAGACTTTTACTGAGATGAACTGTAGACACGTATGGCTTCAGCATAATCATAAACAGAGAAAAATGGATAGCATTCCAGATCTATGATTGGCAATAACAATTATGGTGACTTTAACATGATGAAAATGTCTTCATGACAATATACAAACAAATCAGTACTAAGAACAATATATTTTTTTCTTTGATTGGACATGGGAAGATCTATGGTTGAAGGGTATATATCAATTGATTAATCAACAAATATAGTTATACCACACTAACATTGGTGGCAACTACAAACTGCACTGCAATCCCAATTACTGAATGCTGATTGAAGAATTGTGTCACAGGCTTACAAGATTCTTTAAAAATTTGGGTTAAAGTTTAACCCATGTTATTCTTTTCCATTTACTGATGTATATGTATTAAAAGCTGAAATGCTGCAAAAAGAAAGTGATGGCGTGCTAGAAACAAAAAAAAATCACTTAAAATGTTTGATCAAACAAAAAGTAATAGATATAACCTTCTTTGTCTAATTATTGATACTCTCAGAAGAGGATCAGGAAGGACAAAACAGAGCATAATGACATGGTTGTGCTCAAGGAATGTAAGGACTGAGAAAAAAAAAACAAAAAAGACATTTCCAGCCTTATAATAACTGCACATAAATGGTATGGAAGTGATGAAGTCATCTGAATGCAATTAATTCAGAGACAATACAATGATCAGTGCTATGCCAACCAAACGGAGAAGATGGTCATACTAGTCAATCTATGTTGCCCACAACAGCTATTATGCATTAGGATTATGAATCCGGCAGGGATTGACATAACCTCTTTGACGAAATTGACGTTGGAAGGCCAGCATATTGGTGCGGTAGCATTTTTCCTCCAATGTAGTATAAAAGTATGATGAATCTACTCGTATTTTTGGCATTTCTTAACATAATGTACTTTTGGCATATAATCTACTCTCGTATTTGCATTGCTAGGAAGGACCAAGAGGGAACAAAATGCCTGCATGAATAGGATTGCTCGAAAGAATTGACAATCTAGTGTTAACCTAGAAATGACACGTATATCCGTTCTCTAATCTCTATCATCTCCAACACAAGGAACTCGCGAAAACATAAAAGAAATATGCGCGGCATTACCACCGGTACCATCACCGCGATATCATGCAAACAAACAAAGTGCCGTATTGCCATTGTCAGCCCAATCACGCGACCATAAAAATCCTGTGGGTGTCCGAGTCTGCAGTCATGGATCCGGGATCTCAATTCCTAACGCACAAGAACCCGACGCGACATCACGACGCGCGCCAATCGCAAAATTGTACAAGCAAGCAAGGGGATCAGGGGGGGGGGGGGGGCGGGTGGGCGTCGCGTACGCGGGTACCTGCAGGGTGCGGGTGGCGAACTCGACGCCGATGGTGGACTTGGACTCGAGGAAGAACTCGTTGCGGGTGAAGCGGGAGAGGATGTTGGACTTGCCGACGCCGGAATCGCCGATGAGGACGATCTTGAACAGGTAGTCGTACTCGTTGTCCACCCGGTGCGCCATGATCTCCCCCTCCCGCCTCCCCTCACGTCCCGAATCTGGAACGAACGAAAATCTCCCCTCCGATCCTCGCCTCCTGACCCTCTCGGTTCGTGCGCCTGGGGGAATGGAGGTTTGAAACGGTGGGGGCAGAGGGCAGGCAGATCCGAGGGGGAGGAGAGAGAGAGAGGGGGGGGGGGACGAGGCTCGCGCTCGCTCTGCGCTGGCGCGGCTTGTTGTTGTTGGTGGTCGCGTCTCGGCCAGCCAATCGACGGCTGGCGCGGCGTTTTGTCCCTGGCTGGGGCGGGCTTGCCAGATCTGGGGAATGTGGCCATGTGGTGTGCGTGGTCGCCGTGGTCGGTGGCCGCGTGTATCACCTGCCTCGTCGGTTTGGTTCGTGGGCTTGATGAGTTGGTTATGTGGGCTTATCTATGGGTCACCACCTCGGCCTCGACGGCCTGCTCGTGCGGAAAGTATGGGGTCGGGGCGGCTTCACGGCTCGGCCCAATGCAAGCATTTCACACCATGCAGATATATACAGTTTCGTTTTTTTCGATAGATGAATACTTTCTGGAACACAATATTTTCTTTCCCACATATGCAAGCATTCACACATACTGACATGCAAACACTATTACACTGTCACCACTAACGTTACATACACGTGGCCACGTGGGTGCAACCTAGCAGTAGCAACACGTCTAAACGTGAGAGGTTAGCCTCATGCATGTAGCAAATAGCATAGGTACCCTCTTTTTTCACTAACACGCTAAAAGAAATACACGTCAATATAATAGAAGAAGACGGAGTTTAGTTACACAATGCAAAACGTCTAGAAGGGTGTTGCAGGGGGGACAGGGGAAGAAAAAATCGAAAAAGGAAAAAAGTGACAAGGGGAAAGGTTACTTAAAAACAAAAAACTCCTATAGCGAGGGATGGTAGAGGAGTAGCCCCACTATATTCCTAGAAAGCCCCCAAAAGCAGTACCACTAGCAGATGATCACAGACGGCCTTCCTAAAAGACAGACTCCAACACTACTGAAACCAACGAGAGAGAGAGAGAGAGAGAGAGAGAGAGAGAGAGAGAGAGAGAGAAATCGAACACCCCAGAGTTTCACTCCTTCCACAGCTGCCAAGATATCGGGAGTACAAGGGAGCTGAAACCCTTATGAGGTGCTCTGACAAGCAGGCCCTAGTAGTCGGCCACCAGACCTAGAGTGAGCAACCACGGGAGGGGACAAGGTCAGGCTAGCCAGGAGGAGACAGAACATGATGCCAGACCTGGTGAGCGAAAACACAATCAAGTAGGATGTGATTCACCGTCTCCATTTCTTGGGCACGGAGGGGACAGACTGAGTGGCTGTCAATACCACGCTTTAGAAGAAGGTTGGTCATCCAGCGGCACTTTTGGAACGCAAGCTACAGGAAAAGCTTACACTTAGCAGGGCCTTTAGCCTGACAAAGTAGATTGGCGCAAGCAAAGGAGTGTTGGCCGAGGAAAAATGTCTGGTAAGCCAAGTAACACCAATCGCTTGTCCAACGCTAAGAGCTGGACACAAAACACCGTGTCCCAGATCACGAGGAATTGGGAAATGATAGGGACCGTGAGAACGCCACGGATGTCCCCCACCCATAAGTTGTTAGAGAGAGCAGAGGTGATTGTGCGCGATGCCCGGAGATGTGGTGGCACGGCAAGGAGGAGGCCAGGCACCAAGGAGGCCACCGAGCGACCCTCAATCCATTGGTTTCTCTAAAAGAGAGACGTGTCGTTCCCTGGCACGAAGAAGATGAACGACGCAGACATATCTCTCGAGGGGGCCTTCAGGTCAGCCCAATAGAGGTGGCCTGAGCGCTGAAGCCAGAGCTAGCGAAGGTGAAGAATGAAGCCACAAGTCCACAATACCCAAACCACCGATAGCTCTGGGGCGACAAACACTCGTCCAAGACATAATGCATCGTCCTCCCTGAACTGCATCCATACCCGTCCACTGGAAAGCGCGACATTTCTTATCTATGGCATTGACAACCCAGCCTGGCGAACTAACTGCCATAGACACATGGACCGGAATAGAAGATAGCATGGACTGAATCAGCACAGAACGATCCCGACCCATCTAGGGAGAAAGTCGGTGAGAAATGGCATCACATATTTAAAAATTGGAGACAGAGCAGAGTAGGGGAAGGAACTCTGGACCAGGGAAATATGTGATGCCATTTGACGTTTTATAGACGTTCGATTATTCATCATATTAAAAGAATTGTGAAAAATATGTAAAAACACGGGTTATGCTTCAGCATGTACCTTTACTGATAAAATAAATCACAATAAAATAAATAGTAGACATATAGTTTTTTTAATAAGGTGATATGTCCAATACTCAATAGCGTTTGTATTACTACCTCCATTTCATATTACAGTTAGTTTTGATTTTTTTTCTAAGTCATAATTCTTTACGTTGACCATATTTATAGAAAAATATAAAAATATTATGGACATAAAACAAAGAAACTATCAAAATATATTCATTGTTAGATTTAGTAAAATTAATTTGGTGCTATAAATATTGTTGCATTTCTACTTTCAAAAAGTTTGACTTAAAAAAAGTCACATCGACTTATAATATGAACTCGGAGGAAGTATGTATCAAAATGGGCATGAATATTGATTTAGCTTCGAACCAACCCAATGACTATTACTTCCTCTGTCTCAAAATGTTGCTATCTAAGATAGGATTTGACCTATTCTAGGACAATGAATCTGGACATAACCTCTGTCTAGATTTGTTGTTTTAGGATATGTCAAATTCCATCCAAGATAGAACATTTTTGGATGGAGGAAGTACTATTCAAACTGTCAATGGATTGATAATTTTTTATCAATCCAAAACAGTCATTAATCCCCTTAAAACTTCACATCCTTATCCCATCTACACTCCTGGTCATGTTTAAAGATAACACTTATCAGCCTCTCCTTCTAAATTATCTTTTCGTCCGGATAATTCAGCCCATCCAGATAGACCGTCGCTCTCAGACAGACTCAATCTAAGCCTAGCTAGAAAAACTAGGCAGAGCCCTCAGCCTGCTATTGATTACCACTTACCAGCCCGATTTGGGCCAACAACGCCCCGAATCGGTTCGAACAGGTGGCACCTTTCCACGACACCTTGCTGCTGCTTATCCAGTTATCCCAAACCCAGATTAGACGGGCCGAAAAAGAGGTTTCTACCCCATTCATCCAACACGCCGCACATCGAACTTCTTATCTAGCTTTCCGAGTACTTCCAAGTTCCAAGTCCAACCCCTTCTATCATGCTCCATGCCGCGCGCATGCATCATGCACGCTGGACGCAAACTACGTGTCGACCATGGATGCGACGCGACGCGACGCGAGGCTTGCGTATGTGCTCCTCCTCCCTCTCCGCGGTGAAAGTGAAACCGATCGATCCCTGCAAATAATTCACCGCGCGCGCACTCCTCCTCGGGCGCCGATGGGTGGATACGTCCACGACGCGTTGGTTACTTTCGCGGAGTGCAAATCTCCGGCTTGGCTTTCCCCCCGTGCGAGCCCCGCGGACAGGGACGGGGTTTCGGCCCCGCGCCCTTGGCGGCATCGTCATCCGCATCGCCTTTTCCGTCTCGTCGCCACCGAGCCGTCCCCGTCCACGGCAAACAGGATAGAAAGCGGGAGCGAGCGAGGCAGCAGCGCCCGCGCGCATCGGGCGTGCGTGGACCTACCAGCCCGCCGTCGCGCGTCCCGCCGGCCACTGGACTGCGGCCGCGATCGAGAGCGCTAGCCAACGCCTTCCGGATCACGCGCTGACACTTGTAGACCCTAAGACCCGGACGGCCGGATCGATCTCCGCGAATTATTGAGCGGACCGGCTATATACGTCCTAGTTACCAGTAAAGGCATCGATCTTTCGGGTGGGTCTCGTCGTATCGTCGCGTGCGGGAGGAGGAGAGAAAAATCGGGAGAGCGAATCGGGGGCCGTGTGGATGTGCGCGCGGGGGCTGCCGGTTTCACGTCGATTCTCGGCGTCGGCGGCCCCGCCGCCGTGCCCTGGCCTTCCGGTGCGTGGCTAATTTCGGCCCGGCCGGAGCAGATCGGTCGATATCCGCGGCCGAATCCTGAGGAGGCTATCGAGATAAGGATGAACCGCGCGAGCCAGGACTGCAGGAGCACATCAATGTTCTGGCTGGTGTTCTCGCTCGCGCCAAAAAAGGCGGGCATCTTTTTCGACGAACCCAAATCCACTTCAGATAATATCTCCACTACTCGCTCGCCGCTCTGATATGGCACGGGCATATTTAGCCGTGACATGATGGCGTGCATGGTGACCTGTTACGGTGTTTTTCTCTGGGCCCCTGTTACAGTGAACCTTGGCTTGATCGCTTCATCATCAGCTCGACCCCTGTGGACCGATGGAGTTGACGACGACTTTGCATCTCTCGACGTACGTACAACCAGCCAATGGCGGCACGACAGGATCGGCATGGAGGATGGGCAAAAAAACGCATGTCGCGTCGCGTGAGCCGCCACGCCAGTGACGGCCGAGAAGCAAGAACAGTTCAGCCAACTTCCTTGGAACGGGCTGACTAACACGCACGCAGAGGTTCCTTTCCCATCATAACCTGAATCAGTCTCGGTCATTCTGGACCAGCTCGATCGCTCGGGGCCAATCAAGTTCGGCCGTGTGCATTGCCGCATTCGGGCAGTTTGTGCCGTCGCAAACTGCAACTCTGAAAAGTACACGCCCGATTTAAGCAAGTGATAGTGATCCACTGATCCTGGGTTAAATCCAGTCGAAAACCGCAACTAACTCTGGAAAGCGACGCCGCCCGATCTAATACCGGGATCCTTTGGTTAAATCCAATACTCCGTATACGTCGCAAACACACAGCCGTTCTGACAACTGTTGACTCGTGCACTGCAGAAAGCTGATGGAATCGTGGAGATTAAGAAACAAAGAAGCTGGAGGTGCGTGCAGGGGGAGTAGTGGATATTCCGGGTGGCAAATGGCCTGGGGTAGGAGGCGACCAGCGAGAGGAAAAGAAGAGGCGACGATAAGGCCATGGCTCAACATCGTCCTTGGGACAGGGAATGGAATCATCCTCGTAGGAGGTGAGGTCAAAGTGTGAGAGGTTGGAGGTATATGCTACGGCCCCATCGATTCCTCCCGAGTGCAAAGTCAAATAGGATGCAGTGCATTATGCTATCCAGAATCTATCTATCT